TCTTCTGAAGAGATCAACTCATGAATCTCTTCTCCATGAATTTTCATGTGAAATGAAGGTCCCCGCAAAAATGTTATCTCAGGAGATTAATCGAAACCCAGCTATTCTTCGTGTCTACTGGATTATCTTATCTTTACAAAATTCGTTAGACTTATCCTTATTGATATTAACCTTAAACGAAGCCTAAAACCCAACCTCTTTAGCTTCTTATCATGAACCTTTCTATTCATTTTATAAATTGCTTCACCCAAACTGTCAGCCAAGTCTTGTGACTTAAGAAAGTCTTTCTCCTTTAAAATCTGAGAGAGGGTTTGTTCTTGGTTCCAATTAGATTGTGCAACTTGGTAGTGCTTTTTTAAGCCTGGTTGTAAAATGTGTCGTGGACTGCTTCAATTTGAACGTCGTATTTGTGTCAAACGGCTACAGTACAACGCGAGTCCGCCAAAGCCTTCTTGTGAGATTTACCTACGAATCGCTTCATCATGTACTTCCATATAGGATGAAAGTCTTCACATGATTGTATAGGAATTCATAAGATGAGGCTGGAAGTAACCAGAAAATCAATTGAAAAGTAGCCAATATAGGGACGATGTAGTTGAACTTATGTATAGGCCAGAGGTGATGATGAAATTGCAAGTTGATACGACACAAAGCAAGAAGATGAAGACGAAGAGAAATAATAACTATATGAATGACGTAAAAAGGTTAATAAAAGCTTGCAACTAAGACATAAGCAGATTTTAAAGACAATTGTTTCGATATGAGAAGAAATCACTTTACAGTGAAAGATCCAAGCGTCCAAAGCAAATAACTGGCAATCATAACAAATCTAATCAGAGGCAAGAAATAAAGACATAAATATTAGCCTTACTCGATAAGTGAAATCAGAATTTTAAGTAAATGCATTATGCTAGTTTGAAATTATATGTAAATAGGGAAAATAAATAAAAAATCAAGTAGCATATTTGTGATTGGATTTTAAAACGTCGGTGATATAGGGGATAATCTATGCATGGATCTATATTTTTGGTTTATATCTATATTTCTGCTTACCTACCAGCTCATATATTTATTTATTCGCTGCCTCTAGCTACTGTCTTAGCTCTGAGGCTGGGTGTAAATTTGGGATCGCCTGGGTTTAAATGGCGAGATAAGTTAGCGAACCATAATGAAACCATGATGGAGAACTTCGCTAATAAATTTATGATCACCTGATACTCCAAAGGCGAGCTATCCAGAAGGGTTCCCAAGTTC